TGATAGAATCGCCCGTTTCAAAGGCGTCCTGCATAGTCGAGGCAATGACGCCAGTCGGTCCTCGTTTAACCCAACCGGCACAATAGACACCGGGGGTTACCCCTGACTGCGTTGCTTCAGAAGCTTCTTCCTGATCTACAGCAACAACTCTGCCGCGTCCATCGTTCATAACGACACCTCGGCGGTCATCGAAAGCTACACCAGCCTCTTTCAAACCGGGCAAGGGGATGGACTTATAACCAATGGAACGGAAGACCAAGTTCGAAGGCACCGTGATAGTTTCTCCGGTAAGCCGAGCTTGAGCACCGGGATCAAATTTGTGAGACAGTTCCGTCCTCTCGAACACAGTGCTCCCAACATCGGTAGGAGAATTTTGGTTGGCCAAAAATTCAACAGGATTCAAGCAGAAGTCAAGTGACCATGATTTCTCGACATCGTGTGGACGAGACACGGAGCCCTTGGCGACCACTTCCATCAAGCGCTTTGCTGCTCTTGGAAGTGACTTGATGTCTGGGGGTATGAGCGTGCTGTCCACCGGATGAAAGCCAACACTTTGAATCTTCATCAACTCCCTGACTTCCTTAATTGTGAACGCGGCCTAGATGGGAGGATCAACTCGTCTGCTCTATTTGGACACAAGAAGTTGAGCGGTTTACTCACCTGCATTGGACCTCGTCTTCCAACGACATGAACCCTCTTGACGCGAGAGGTTGCAAGCTGGGCAAGGGCCTCTTCTGTGATATCTGTCCGCCGCAAGGCATCGATATCCTCCAGGAGCATTCTAGCAACGTCCAGGGCTACGTTGCCCTGACCAATTACGACAGCCTCATCTCCTTTCGTGAGATCGGGTGACAAATCGGCATATTCGGGGAGCCCATTGTACCAGCCCACAAACTGGCGAGCCGAGTAGACGCCTTGGAGATTGGATTCTCCAGGGATGCCGAGGGTTCTATCCTTTGCGGCTCCATATGCGAGTAACACTGCATCATAATTTCGCAACAAGGTGGGAAAGGGCACATTGCAGCTGTCGGGATGACGGCCTACGTCGCCTATGGTCACGTTACCCATGAAGTTAAATTTAGGCGAGGCCGCAACTTCTGTGAATTTGTCCTGACAGTTCTTGGGGTTGTGTAAGCAGCGTGCACCGGTGAAGCAGTCAACGAGACGGGAGATATCGAACCTTGACTTCGGGATGATCTGGGGCAACGCCGAAGCGGACGAGGCCAAACGGTACCGGCAGCGACTCATACATGTCCACCGTAGTCTCTGGGAGTTGGGACATCACTCGGTAGGCAGAGTAGAAGCCTGCTGGACCGGAGCCAACGACGGCCAGTCGGAACGGGGCGTTTGGTTGGCGGACTTGTCTCGCGGCGGTACTTGACGGGCGCGACCCGGAAGCGCCGGTGCCCACTTCCATCCGAAAACGGCGGCAGGCTGGGCGTAGCCTGGCCCGGCATCGGGATGGAATCATGGGACTGGTGGAGGGTAGCGCGGAGTAGACTTTGGTCTGTTCTGATGGTTAAGGAACTTGACTTGTCCGAGGTGATACTGGACACCGCGTGTTCAGACAATAATAAGTCGAGGTAGCCTGGTCGGTGAAATGGGAAGCTACCACCAAAGCTGGTTGATGCAGCCCGAGTATAGAGCACCGAGTGAGTCAAGTCAAGGAAGGCGTCGGGGTGGAAGCTTTCGGATTTAAATCGAGAATCCACAATCCGGAGCCGGGCCTAGTTGCGGTACCGATGTGAAGCATGGACTCGGCGTCCTCGGCCTGTGGCTTATAAAGCCACTTACTACCTTGACTTGGTTGCCGACACTGGGCTGTGCCTGGAGATTCGAAAGAAGAGTAGGTGCATGCTTTTGCCGCGGGTGAAGATGCCGCGGTTGAAGAAAAGCAGGCCTGCAATTGAAGTATCGATGTCGTGAACCATGAAGCTGTACTACCTTCTTGCAGCTTCTCTTGAACTACAGCTGCCGGTAAAAGTGCCCTGTTGCTTGTAATCGAGGCCTGGTCCAAGCTTTATACGTCATTTCGACCCTCCCAAAAGTTGGTGGGGGGGTTTCGGGACCAAGTGGATAGTATCTAGTGTACTAATTATGCTACCCATGATCCATGATCCAGACATCTGGAGGTGAGAGGTCAATGATCGTCGAGCCAGAAAGAGGTGCAAACAGACAAGGTAGACAACTTTGGATGACAGCTTTCTGGCGCGACAGGCTTCAAACGAACATTCCCTGAACATGAGGTGACAAGGGTAATTGGGCTTGCTATGGTGCAGCTCCCAAGGCATGCTACCTTAGTACTGCAGGAACGAGGAGTTGCCATAGCAACCGCCGCGCGCCAGCTGCAACACTAGACTCAAGATGTACCCAATGTCAATCAACCGATCCGGGAAGGCTGGAAAACAACTGGGCCTTTGAGCGATACGGCTTCAATCTTGGCGAGGCCGGGCAAACACAGGATTTGCCTGTACCTTTGCGCATCTCACCCTGAGTTTGGCCTTTCTGATTCTGGTCCCTGTCTTGCTCTTAACCATCCTGCCTCGCCTTCCACCTCACCACCCATTCCCCCACCCCCCACCTCTTTCATTCATTCACATGTCCGTGGTAAGTGAGAGGAAAGCGAGACCTTAGCCACACCAATCCAACCACCGGATACCCTTCAAGTTGGCGGCATTCCAGCCGTCTGACCTCTGTTAAACTCTTGTCCCGCGCATTCCTCTCCTTCTTTTCTCGGAGGACACGCAAGGACAAGACCAACGCCGTGTCGCGACCATGGCTCACCAACCATACCTCTACAATGTCGTCAGCAACAATTCCCGTTTCCCTGAGCCAAAGTTCGACCCAAAGGCAGTGACCCGCGCAAGCTGGGAGCCGCAGCCGCGCAAACCGAAGCCGGATGGCCCTTTGGTAACCTTCAACCGTCATCCCGAGTAAGTTCGCTTGGTCTAGGATTGACAGCGAGGACTGTCTTTATCATGAGGAGTGAGAAAGTTAATACTGATTGCCGTTTCTGTTGTAGTGCTCATCTAGTCCTCAACCATCGATCCAACAACTATGTTGCCCTCGGTCCTAGAACGAAGAGTTGGATCAAGGCGATGCGCATCGTCCAGTTGTGCTTGAGGGTCCTAGAATTAATCGGGGCTGCTGGATTACTTGCTCTACTCATCCTGCTAGACAATATCGAGACTTTGGCTGGCTGGGTCATGCGTATTACGGTTTGTCCACTGCCCAGACTGCCTGCTCCAAGGTTTGGAGTACACGAAAACTGACTGACCTTCTTCCAGCCGGGTGTCGCCATGGTGCACTGCCTCTACGGCATCTACCATCTCCAGCGGCCTGCTGGAGGCCGTAGCCCTGCCTCGTCTACAGCCTACCAACTTTTCGCCAGCATCTCTGATCTTGGCGTTATGCCTCTTTACGCCTACGGTGCTCTTACCGTCAACAACAGCGGCGGCACCTGGAAGACGCGTCTTTCCGACCAAAGCCTACTGGACTATTTCCTTCCAGCCGTCTTCTATACCTTCATCGGTGCTGGGGGCTTGCACTTGATCTCTCTCGGCATCTCAATATGGCTTGGTGTCATGTTCCGCAAGATTACCGAACTGCCCCCCGACATGAACCCTCTAGAAGACAACCTCACCTCCCGAGCCAAACACAAGAGAAATAAGTCCAGTGTTGCGACCTCCATGAGTGGCGAAAGCGACAAGAGACTATCCACACCTCTCGAGGACCGTCGTCGATCAGGTGCTCCGTATGAGGATGTATCTCGACCACCAAGCATCCCCTTTCAACGAACCCGCGCCGGCTCCGACGTTTCCAGTTTCAACCGCAATTCCTTTGTTGATCTTCCCAGTCGGCAGTACCAGGTTCCTCCAGGAAATCTACAAAACCAGACAGCAGGCGTCAGCGAGTACGCTCGTACGTCCGGGCCTCGGTCCTCATACCGCGGGTCTTACACCGAGGTGCCGCTCCACGAGACCAACATTGCAGGATCCCGAACTTCTCTCTCCTCTGCAGTCCCAGCCCCTGGAGGCAAATTCACCGAGACATGGTTTGCGACAGACTCCATGATTTCTCGCACTCAGAAGCGAAATCGCGCCATGGACCAAGCCACGACAGCTGCGAACACGCAGCGGCAGGGAACGAGGAACAGCACTTACGAAGCTCTGTCTCAAAGATACAACGTCGCAGATTCCGATTCAGAGCACGACGAGAACGACCTTGCTGGCAGTGACTTTGAGAATGATATCGGCAAGAGCCCGCACCCGAACCCATTGAAGTCCCATCCGACGCCGCCCAAGACCAAGGCTCCGTACTACTCGCTCAGGGATACGGCACTGTCGGACGTAGACCTCAACTCTCGTAGGGTCAGCGGTACCAACGACATTGCCGATGAGAGACCTTCATCGCTCGTCCCTCAACCCTGGCCGCGCAACCGCGACAGCTCCATTCAACCAGAGGCTGATTTCTACTCCAAGCCGTACGGTGAGCTGAAGTCGGCGACTCCTCCGGTCATGATCGGCGGTAACCGTCAAGTCTCATCCGGCAACGACTTCAAAGACAACAAGTACTCGTCAGCTTATGGAAGGCGTAACGTGAGTGGCAAGGTCGCTGAAGAAGGTCTCGCAGGGTCGAAGGGCGTTCAATATGGCGTGGCGCGGTGATGAGGAGGTTTTCGTAAGCAGCGAATGAGTACTTGTTTTGGGAGTTTGATACGAGAACACGGGTTGATTTTCACGACGTCCGGTGGAACAAGACTAGGAAGTGTATGGACAGCTTCATTAAATGTAAAGTAAAGTAACGAGAGCAAGCAACTACGCTGTGATACCAATACAAATAACAAAAGTCATTTTTGGCATGTAAACTAATCAATTGCCCCCTTTCGCGGATATGTCTTGAGAAATAACGAACAACGTGAATGATAACATAGGAGAGTGAACCAGTATGTTATCAAGATCGACCTTTGACTTTTGCGTACCACGACATGAAACCCAACGTCATGCTCGGGCGTACTTGGCCCAGTCGACCCGAGGCTCGGTTTCCTTCCATCCCATGTCGTCCCAGGAACCCAGTCCGGTGAGATGCCTCATCGTCGGCCGTCCATGTGGACAGTTCCATGGTTTATCCAACTCGCCCATGTGACGGACCAGCTTCTCCATCTGTCGTTGTGCCAGAGCCTTGCCAATCATGACGCTGCTGCGGCATGCCCTCATTGCGAACATGGACCGCACCTTGGACGGCCGAGGGGCACTGCTGACTTCGGTGAGGTGGTGGTCGCTGAGCAGAGAAATGAGCTCCTCGAGGTCGGACAATGTGAATGTCGTCTCGCGGCTGAGGGGTAGCGCGAGGAGCTTGCACCTTGCTCCCACGGGTTGGTCACCCGAGCTGTCCACGCTGACCTTGAAGCCGTTGACGTCCAGGGCCGCGACGTTTTCCATGACGATCTCTTCCTCCAGCGCTGTGAGTTCCAGCTGCTTCGGGTGCACCAATCTCTGAGACTGGACCACCGTTGTGGACTGCAGTCTCTCAAAGTTGTACTTTTCGTCCGACGCATGTTGGTCGATGATGAAGAGCTCGTCGTCCCCGACTGCGTCACCGTTTTGGTCCCGAGCCGCGTGTCGAACTGCGATGATGAAGCCGAGATTGAACTGGCCGACAATGGTCATCTTTGCGAAGTCCGACTTTGATATGATCAAGGACAGGGCTGCTTCGGCATCCTGGGCCTCGAGATCCTCGATACCGGAGGTCTTGGACTGTCGGCTTAGGTTTTGGGTGGTGCGCCGTAGCTCTGCCTGCCAAGATTCGATGCGAGACTGTAAATCGTTTGTGTCAATCTTGACATTTTGCCTCTGCTGTAGAGTTGCGTCCTTTCGCCTGCCCCCCCCTTTGAGGGCATTCGACCGAGCATCTGCGAGCATAGTCTGCGCCGCTGCTTCATCCTTTAGAATGTCGTCATTCGTTGTGGCCGGCACCGGGGTCTTGACACGGCTCGATACGTTCGCATGGGGTCTATGTGTTGGACTTGACAACGCTTCGGCCCTATCGAAAGCAGACTCAAATTCATCATCCTGGCTGACCATGGTCTCATCCGCAGGTGCCCTCTCCTCTGAGCTGTCATCGCTTTCTCTACCATCATCTGTCTCTGCGCCAGCATCTTCGCTGGGGTTTTGTGGCAGATCTGTGCTCGCCCTGCTGACACCTTTCTGCCTCGCTGCATTACTCGCAGAGAACATCTGGGTCAGCCTTGAGCCAAAGGAGGATTTTGCCGTGGCTGAGCTCAATGGTAAATGAGCAGCCTTTGGCGTCGGCGATGAGGTCGGCTCGTGTCTTATTCTCTTCGATGCTGGCTCTACGGAGCTGGTGATGGTACTCTCTCCAATAGACACGGTTGCAACTTCTAGGGCTGACCGCTTAGGTAGCCGTGAAGTAGATGAAGCCATGAGAGGGTCAACTCTTGGTGTTCTAATAGGTATCATAGCAGGAATCTGGGCTTGTCTACTTTCGGTGCCATCGATAGAAGACTGCGAGACACTCTCCCCCAAAGCATCAGCTTCGTGGTCTTTATGGGCGTCTGAAAGCCGAGCGTTGAAGTCGAGAACCTGTCGCGGCGTCTTGAAAGAAATGCTTTCGGCAGCCTCCGCCGCTGCCTCGTTCTCTGATTCGGACGTTCCAGGGTCGTATTCAGTAGCCGGAGCCTTCTCGCCACTATCTTCAGCGACAGGCTCTTCGGATACTATATCCATTCCCCGATGCAAAGCACGACTGTCGGTTGCTCGTCCAACCCACCTGCTCATTAAGCTCTGGGACTGTAGTTCTGCTGTTGTGAGCTTTTGGGGTTTCCTCTGACGAGGTTTGCGTAGTTGCTTAGTACGTGAATGAGATTGTTCGTCATCGTCTTCGGAGCTAACGTCATCTTCGTCACTTGAACTCGTCTGCTTCGCCGGGGCGGCTGGTGCTTGGTTCGAAGGTTCATCATCATCGTCAGAGCCGTCGCTCTCGAGAACGGGGGCCGCCCTGGCTGACTGTGTTATCTGTATTGGCTGCTGCGCGGACGGAATGGAGTAATCTTGGGATTCGAAAAGGGACGACAAGGCCTCCTTCATATTCTCCAACATGCGATTCTGATCATGCAGCATGATCGTGCGCTTATCCGGACTGACGTTGACATCATATAAGTGCGTATCAAGCTGGATATCAGCCAGTATGAAGGGCGACTGGGAGGCATTGTAAGCCCTGTAGACCTCATTGAAGACCTTGGCGAACTGAGGAAGGCCGCATGGTCTGCCATTGACGAAGAACATTTGTCGATCAGGGGTCTGACGGCCCTCTCCGTGGGCTGGACGACTCACGTAACCCTGGACTTGGACCTTTGTGGAAGTTTTCTCGTCTTGATTAGTGGATTTCAAGCCCGGCCTAGCGGTGGGCTCAAACTGGAGGGAGAGATCGAGTTTCACCAGAACCGTCATCGTCTTGGCGCCGAAGATGTTGACCAGATTCTCTCGCGTGGTGGGATTGCCTTTTGTAGAAAAGAGGATTATACGTTTTCCCTTGGTAGGTTGCTGGGAAACGGAAAACTTGACGCCAGTCTGGATGCAAGCATACTGGTTCAGCAATGCGATGACCTTATTCCATTCTCTTTTGACGTTGCGTTGAAGCTCGCGGCGGCGTACAGGAAGGTTGTGAAACAGGTTCCCGACGATGACGTTGGTGCCCTTCTGGGCGGCGACCACATGAGCTTCCTTGAGCTTCCCCGATGACTCGAACTCGAGTCTTGCGCCTTTGGGAACATCCTGTGCCATGCAGGTGACAATGCTGAATTGAGACAAGGCACATAACGATGACAAGGCTTCGCCGCGAAAACCGAAGGTCTTGAGAGTAGCCAGATCGGAGTAGGTTGCAAGCTTCGAAGTGTAGTGCTTTAAGGCAATTGACTCGTAGTTGTCCGGTGAGACTCCCTCGCCGTTATCCTGGACCTCTATGGAATCCAGTCCCTGGTTCTTGAAGCGTACATCTGGGTGCAGATGTAAGCAATCGAGTCTATCCACAAATCACATGGCAGAGATGGATGTCCGGATTTGCGTACCTATGCTCGTAGCACCGGCGTCAATGCTGTTTTCCACAAGCTCCTTGACGACAGAGCACAGATCAACAATGACTTGACCAGATTGAATCTGGTGAATCTGCGATGTTGTCAGTACAGGACGTGGACGACAGTTTGCGGGGGGTTCACTGTGCGGCCCTCGATGGGCTTGATTGTGGCCATGATTCCTCAATCAATTGTGATTTGATGCGTAACCCGATTTTTCCTATATCCGTATCTCCTGCTTGTTCTCACATGACGTCTTGACTAGGTGCTTGGTCGTCGCTTGGTGTATGCGCAACGCCATGTCTACATTATATCCATCGGCAGCTGTCGTGAAGTGCTGGGGTGCCTACGAATTGGAAGGGTAGACGCGTTGACCGTGCTCAGACGCGTAAAGTGGACGGATACCCACCACAGGTAGGTCTACCTTCAGTCGGTAGTGTGGTAATTAGATATGTAGGCACTTTACCTCAGCAGGCTGCTGGCGCATGGGGACCCGAGAAATAGCCGTCGGGTGTTGCCCACCTCAGACCTGTCCTTTGACATCTGGTAATCAGGTATGCCAAGGTCCCTAATACATCATACTGAATACAATATGGCGGATTTACTATTCTTGAGTACCTTAGCAACTTGGATGAAGAGGAATATGGGTAATCAGGCGAACGAATATGCAAGGAGCCAACGAGGAACGTCGATGCGGGTATGCTTGTTCTTTGCATGTTGGCAATGTCGGCCTTAATACGGTACACCATGCCCTGGACCCCGAGGGCTCCACGTCCTCCCAGGGCGCTGTGGTTGCGAAACAAATCAAATTAAATCGAAAGGCTTGACTTCACGGAGATGTCAATCATGGAGCGCGGGATGGGGCTATGCATCACCCCGCCAATCTACTCCTCATGCGTTCCCGATTTCCGTGAGCTTCAAGTCCAAGTTTCCCATACTTCCACATCCTTCACTGCGCGCTTTAACATCTCCCCGAAGCCATCCAACCCTGTCGTGCCTGCCAAGACTGGCTCTTCCACACTAAATGATGTTTTGATTCTTTGAAATGATGTGTCATCAGGGAATTGTGAATGGCTAAAACCAACTCCCCGGTAAGGGTGGGGGAGGAGAGCACCGGCCAATATACGCTGCATGCACTTAGGTATGAGGGAATCTTGAAAGTTAAAAGCAGATCTCCATGCGTACGGACAACCAGATGGACTTGGATGTGCTTCTGATGGGGAAAACCTTGTGTTGGCACATGTCATTGTTCGCATTCGTGACGTCTCTAAGGATCCCAGATATCTACAAGATCGTGTTTGCCAGAGGCCGGTAATTCGGAGAATTGGAATGGGTAGCATTGCACATTTACGCAGAGGCATAATGTAATTGTTCCATTGGCCCACCGCAACTGACTGCACTGCAACATCGAATTTCACCACACCCCACGCCTAGAGGCTATTGCCATGCTTCAGAGGCTGGCATCGAGTTGTATGTGGGTAGGACGAGAACATCTGTGTCGATCCCCTTTTTGCCAAGTCTTGTAGCCGTTGCGGGTTAAGAAGACGAAGCCGTAACTTCTCAATAGATCCAAACAACTGGGTGGGCCTTTCTCTCTCTTTTCCTTGCTTCGGTAAAGCTTGGCAACCGGTAAGTGAGGGAAGTTGTTCGTCGCTGACAACTTCGGCGTTAGCGATATCAATTCGACCGAAGGAGGCAGGATGCGTAGCAGCGCAGCATGGTAAGCTGCAGAAAGCATGCACTAGCGCTTCGATTTAGATTGCTGGGATGGATGTTGTTGGGGAGATTGAGCATCTCAATCTTTGTCATCAGTCGAGGGGGTATTCGCTTCTGGGTACGGATATTAAGCAATCGGTACCGGCAAGGTCGGGAAAATTCCAGCACTAACACGTAGTAAGAGGTAGCCAACGGCGACGCAGGATGAGCCAACGCGAGACGCGAATGATGGGCAAGCTCAGAGTTCAAAATGTATGTAGTAGTTAAGTTTATGCAGGGTGCTACCTAATACATATTGATAGGAAGAAATTTGAACCAACCAAACCAGATATCTTGTTTGCACTCGCTGGAGAAACGACATGAAAACGTTTCACGTCACATTCGAGAAACCATGGGAGGTCAGGGATGCCCGGCTAGCTCGAGAAATTGGGCGAAGGAGGGGACAGTGAAGAGAAAGATGTTAGATTCTTTGGAAAGCACTGGTGATACGGGGGAGAGAAGCCGGAGAATGGCAAAATGACGGGAAAGACGGGGGGCTGGGAACAGAACTTAGAAGGTTAAGCGTGCCGAAGCCCGGGAGACCAACGTTGGTTTCTGAGGTGAGCGAGCTGCAGAGCTGATGGAATGTGAATTTTCCTCATTTGACAATGTTCAAATCCTGGCCCAAGGTAAGCTAAGGTGAAGCAGGCTGGCAGGGTAGGCTGGCAGGGTCGGCGGGAGTTCCTAACCAGTTCTATCTGCTGGGCCGGCGAATCTGGTCGCAGCAAATTGACGCTATTGAAGCACAACATGAGTCGAGCCGGGCGCTTCGGGCATCGAGGACCACGCAGCTTGCCGCGAGAGCCATTTTATTGCTCGTTTCTGCAGCATTTCTTAACCTTTCTTAGCTATCGCTCCCGCCTCCGCTACGTTTTCATGTGGGATTCCTCTGGACGTTTGAATATACCGGCCAACCAGCTTGAGTTGCAGCAGTTTCATGCCATGTGTCTACTTTGGTACTACTTGCTGTAGACTCTACCTTGCCTTATGCTTCAGTGCCAGTCAGCGTCTTGTACGGAGTAGAAGGGGCTCACAAAGGAGCAGAGAAAGGAGGCGATGGGGCTGAGACATTGGAAACCCAATTGCATGTGGATCGTACAATTCCACGTTGCGTGGACGGACGAGGCGCGAGATGAGCCAGGTCAAATGCTATGTGGGATATCACACAAATGTGTATGTAATGCGAGGTACCTATGGCAAGGGCACGTGGGGACCGACCTTCAGAAACATGAGGTACCTACGAATCGTAGGCAACGGGAAGAACAGCGCTCCACGCGGACGTGACGTGAATTGAGGCTGGAGTGTATCATCAGCTGCCTGCAAGACACTTAGGTAGTGAGCTTGCAGCAGTCTCACCAACTACGGTCACCCTTATCTCTCTGGTCTCATGAAGGTAGCTTGGCTGCATACTTCACAAGTGACCAAGATACTGCACTGTAGTGTCTGGGTAACCATCATCTTCTAGTCCTGGCTGCACACATCAATGTGCGTGTATCTATAGCAATGGATTCGTCCATTCGGATGCTTTGCGTAGGTATTCTTCACCGAGTCCCTACTAACTTAGGGAGATAGGTACCTACCTACAGTATCTCACTTCCAGGTACCTCTTTGGAAATGAGGAAAGGTGGTACTTCGGCACATGTCCTTGTCGTGGGTATCTTATCTCTCCTTCCATTGTCTGATAGGTTAGTGGTGACGGAACGGGGGACGGACGCGGGACTCGACTCGAATCCGTGGGTCGGGACCACCGTTATAGCAGCAGCACCCCAGCGGCACCCTCAGTGACAGACGCACCGCCAGTGGAGGAACCCTCCAAAATTCCAGTACCCCCTAAGTACCTCTAGCATCCACTAAGGTGGTAGGTAGTAGAGGCCCGGACCCGACAATACCAGTTCGCGCCCAAGGAAAGGCAGGTCGAGGGCACGTTCTTTCCAGGACAAGTCCTTTCCTGTCGTCTCGTCCTACCACCACCACAGCCTTCTGCGCGTCTCTCTTCCTCGAGACGTCGCTGTCGTCCATACTTTCGTTTTCCTCTACCTTCCCGCCTTCTCTCACCTGGCCAGGAAAACAACAGGTTCCCCAACGGCTCGATTGAACGACACGCTTCCTTTCTTGGAAGACTCGATCGAGCCCTCTCCACCCATGAAGAGGCGCTCGTCGGGTTCGACCGACGACAGCGACGAACCTCTTGTCGATCCTCCAGTCGTTCAGCAGCCCGCCCAAAGTCGCAATTCTGCACCTCTTCCCAAGCAACCCGCTGCTGTTACTGTTGCCGCAGGAGCCGCATCTAGACCGTCGTCCGCAAGGAGCAGACGGTCAAACAATCCCAATTGGAAGCTCGAACATGGCCCGAACGTGAATTCGATTCTCGACAACCACCCCATAACTGCCTTACCATCGTCACCCCTCTCAGTTCCATCCCTGGCCACGCCATCGCCGGCCTACCGAAACCACACACACCAGCTGCCGAACCACAAACTTCACCACCATTCCCAAAGTGTCGCCGACGAACTTCAGCCTACGCCGAACGACGACAAGTATTTCGATAGCGATCACCACGACGGTAGAGGCGACGGGGACGGCCTCCACGACGACATCGTAGACACTCGGCGAGAGGATCAAACCACCATGGCCGCAGAGAAGATGCCCGATGTGCGCTTCGCCGGTCGCCGCTCTCGATTCCGAAGCCCTTGGTCCGTCACCATATTCACGCTGACTGTCACCGTTCTTGGGATTACTCTGCTATGCGCTATATTGAACTCGTCATGGACTCGCCAGCTCGATGCCAAGGGATGCCGCATGTCGTACATGCGACCTTCCTACATTCGTCTTCGTGACTTCGATACCGAACACACCCGGTTTGCGACCAAATACTCGCTATACCTGTATCGTGAGCAGGGTGTTGACGACGAAAGAAAGGTGCGTCTTGTTTCTTGCGCCGGGGCTATAGCAGATCGCTGACCTTTCACAGCTGAGAGGCGTTCCCGTACTCTTCATCCCAGGTAATGCCGGAAGTTACAAACAAGTTCGACCCATAGCCGCTGAAGCTGCAAACTACTACCACGAGTCTCTTCAACACGATGAAACTGCTGTTGCAGCCGGCGCCAGGAATCTCGATTTCTTTACAGTTGACTTCAACGAGGATATCACCGCCTTCCACGGACAGACCATGTTGGATCAGGCCGAGTACTTGAACGAAGCCATCAGGTACATCTTGTCGCTCTACATGGACCCGCGCATGTCAGCTCGAGATCAGGACTTGCCAGATCCAACCTCTGTCTTGGTACTCGGTCATTCGATGGGTGGTATCGTCGCGCGCACCATGCTCATCATGCCGAACTACCAGTCCAACTCGATCAACACCATTATAACCATGTCTGCGCCACACTCACGCCCCCCTGTTACTTTTGACGGACAGATTG